GCCAACGCTGATTGAGGAGACAGCTGCGCCCTCTTTCTGACAGAGGATGGGGGGACAGGGCCTAGGCAGTCAGCGTGGTGCAAGTGTGAGCATGTGGGGCGTGCCCGTCACACTCAGTGTGTTCACACGCCGACAAAAACCAAAAATGACATTAGTTATATTAAGGCACCTGGGAAGGCTGCTGCTTTGCAGCCCCTGGATTTGGGGGGGAGGAGTTGGGAGGCTGCCTGGCCAGCGGGGGTGTGGGGCGCAGGCTGGGGGGGCCCGGGGGCGGGGCCGCGGGGGTCGCAGGGCCGGGGGCGGGGCCTCGTGTGCTCAGCGGGGAGCTGGGGCCCAGGACGGCGCCCCCGACTGGGCGGTGAGGCCAGCCCCACCCTCTGTGCCCTCTTCTCGGGAGGTGGGGCAGCTGCCCCGGGAACTGTTTTAACCTTGGACGCGGTAGGGGCACTGCTTCTGTTTGGGGGAACCAGGAAAGGCTGCTCAAAAGGATATAGCAGTTGAGTTTTCCAGCTGTACCATACCACCATACTTCTGTTGAAATCCTCGTCTTATTGTGTCAGAATCTCTGGAGGTGATGGGGGCGTTAAACTGAGACACTTTATATAGAGCTTGATCAGAGTACCCGGCAACAGAACTTAAAAATGTTAATATTAATAGTGGGTTATTAAAAATCCAAACTGTTCTATTCTTATTTCCTTTTAGTTTATACATGGTATCATTCAAAAGCATTTGGAATGGGCCAAGAAGAAGACACTAAATATTGTTTTAAGTACTTTGTTTACCTTTACTCATTTGGATTTTTGCTGTCAGGTGAGTTCTGGTATAGCCACGATTAATAGAATCGACAGCTACATGGAAGGTTTCTAGATGATAGAAATGGCCTTCATGACGTTGTGATATTTGAAATGCTGCCTTCTTTCTAAGCATCTACCAGTGTGATGATGTGAAGTAGGCCAGTAACTGCGCGCTGGGCAGGCCTTCTGTTCGTGTGAGATGTAGCACTGATTTTTAACAACTTTCTTTCTTTGGCTCAAAACGTTTAAGCTTTTCTTGTGAATTTCTGGTATGTGTGCAGTATAAAACAGTCGTCTACCAACTGGTTTTCAGATCAAACATTAGTCTGAAATCTTAAGGTAACTAGAAAGAAAATAGTTGCCCACAGGCAGCTGATTGTAGGCTTGATGCCTTGCCTTTAAAATGGAAATTCCTTCCCTGTTTCACTGCACTGTCCTCATTTCTTGTTTGCTCATTTCCTCTTCGAGGGGTCCTTTGTGCTTCATTATCCTTCTTTCTGGTGGTGTTCCAGCTAAGTTTCTGCCATTTGCCTCAGGCTGTTCTTGTACTCTGGCGCTCCCATTCTGTTTGCTGTCCACCGGCTACTGTTTCTGCATGTTGATGAAGGGGCCTGCCCCCCCCCCCCCCTGCAGCCGAGCAAGGAGCCTGTGCGCACGGGGAGGTGCTGTGCGTGCAGGTCCTGATGCGCTATCTGCACAGACGGCCACTCCCGCCCTGGAGGCGCTGCGTGGCCTGGCCCTGGGCTCCCCAACCCCTGGAGGGGGAGGTTTCCATTGGTCTGGGTGTGTGTGCACATGTGCCCAGGTGTCTATACACTCAAAATGTAGCCCATGTGGATTTAATTATTTTTCTTACATTACAGTGCTAATGTAAACATTTAACACTGCTTAAACCATTTAATTTGAATAAGACTTACTCTTTCTAAATTTTTAAATGTTTATCTGAAAAACTGCTTTTAACATCTTGGTATTCTGTGGCTTTTGTGGCCTCTGAGCTTCTATTTGATCGGCGAGGACTGTGCCGCTGGTGAACCCTTGATGGAGAGGCCGCGTTGAGCTGCAGTGGTTGTGACGGGGCTGCCCGTGCGGCCCAGGTGCCCCTCCGTGGCCGCACCGGCCGGGCCCCTCACTGTACCCTGAGGATGCTGGGCCTGGCAGGAGGATGGGGGCGGTGGTGTGTGTGTGTGGAGACAGGCTGGCGTGGAGTGGGTTCTGAACTGTTGATGCCGCTGCTTCTCTAACTTTGTACTAATAAGTATTAACTATGTAAGGGTTGGTTTTTAATGTTCAGACTTTTAAGTGATTTCTTTATCTACAGCTGTAACTACATGACTTTTGTGTAATGTGGCTTAAAGAAAGGAGCACGCACTGGTCCAGGGCTCAGAAGACTTCGTTCTAGTACAAGTTTTGCTGCTTCACTAGGGAAGCGACATTGAGTCTTGAATCTCTCTGTGCCCCGGTTTCTGTAACTGGGGGTGATGGAAGGAGATGCCTTCTCATCCTCCATGGAGACAGAAATGATAACATGGAAACGTTCTTTTAGAAAGTACAGGAAGCAGGTGATGTTTATAGTGATGGTAATGATTACTAGCCTTCCCCTGTCCTTTTTAAATTCTGAAAATAAAAAACACAAGTTTTGAAACAAATTGAAACAGTCCTTGGTAGAGAATGTGTTTTAGCAAGCCAAATGTAGTAAGTCAAATGAGCAGACATTGAAATCCAGTGGGAAAACTCGTTGGGAATTTGTGTACTGATTTTGCAAGGGCGAGACGTTTTCATGTAAGTTAAGGATTTGTGTTTCGACAATTCTGTGAATGCTTAGCTTTTTTAGTAACAAGGAGAATTGATGGGAGTTTCAATCTGTCATATTAGGGGATTGTGTGGGGAGAAGACTGGAGGACTTCGAACAGACTTAAAATTTCTGAAACATGTTCAGTTTCTAAAGTAATGCAAACACATTATTTGCCTGTAGTCGCTGAGCCTCTTGGTTCTCACACAGCGCATCCTGAGCTCACTGATGTTGTACAAGCCAATTGACATGTCCTGGGGCAAAAAATAGATTGATACCTTTTTCCCCAATTCACCAAAAATAATAATAGTGGTAATAATAATAAGTTAATGATAGCATTTTCTCATGTTTAAAGTTTTTTTTAATATAAATGTATCCTAATTGTTAGTGTTTGCTATTACTTGAAACAGCAAAAAGTTTTAACTGAAAAACTGGAAATAGTTACTTATGCTCATTTTTACTTTTGTTCCTCTTGGTTGTGGTTTATTTTGGAGGACATGTGCTTCTGTTTGCGAGTTTAAGTTGCATGAAATACAGTCATATTTTCTGCTAATAAAGTGCTTCCATGTTCATGTGATAGAATGAACATGGCTGTTTGATGAGGTTGCTCCCCTGTCCTCAGCTCTGTAGCTTAGGGGTTCAAGCACCACTGACTCACATGGCAGTGTTATTTGAGTTTCTTTACTGAGTTGTGGATGGCACAGAGATGTTCCTTTAGTTGTGTTTTTAATCTAGAATACCCTGTCCTTCTAAAATATTTTATTTCTGGTTCATATTACCTGATGTACTACACATCAGGTAAATGGAATGTGGAATGGGCTGGAAAACATAAAATAGCACCTGAAAGAAGTCTAACTTCAGAATGAATGTTGCCGCTTTGAATGAGTTAGAAATGGAAAAAATTACTTTCATGTATGAGTCATATTTGAATTCTTTCATGTCATGGTTGTGTGTTAGCTTAAAATTCTGTATATTATAAATTAGTAATAATCTACGCATTGTTTTATTGCTTCACCTTTAAATTGTCCGTAGTGCTTATAGAGATATAACGTGTAACGCATAAACATATGTGCTGAGTATATTTTTTTTATGGCTCTGATAATGTGATATCATGGAAAATTATTGAAAAATATTTGCAGTTGGTTTCTTCCAAACTAACCTTTCATGGGTTTCACACACACTTTTATAAATTAAGTAGTAAAGAATATTTTACTGTGACCATTTATTCATTGCAATTAATGATAATTTGTTTCACTGAAGCTTAAACAGGGAAATAAAAGATACTAATTTCTATAGTTACACCTCAAAAAAAGAGAAGAAATCTGTGAGTTTCTGTGGGTTGTGTTAGAAATACCTAGTACGTGGTAGACCTTGCGTTAAATCTGTTCAGTATCCAAGGATCTACTCTGTGCAAGACGTCCATCCCCCTCCCTGCCGAAGGCGTCTTAGAAGATGCCTCATTTGCCTTCGAGGAGTGTGTGGTTCAGCAGAGGGATCAAGTGAGGTTGTAAGCTGTAAAGTGGGAGCTCGATTAGGATGTAAGTCCTCGGAGATTGGAATTGTGATGTTCTGAACTGCTCCTTGGGTCGTGACCACGGAAAACTGAGCCGTGTGAGCTGTCCTGCTCCCTGAAACCCCGTGCTTGCAAGCTCTCTGCACCGCCCCCCACCCGACACTTGTGAGTTCTGGACTGACGTCAGGGGTGTCGGTGCCGCCCGGCGGCTCAGTGCACCCAACACTGAGGGTGGCCGCACTTGAGTACAGAAAGGGTCTGTTTCAGTGTTTTGTGGATACTTCCTACGGAATCAGTGTATAGTGTATGTTTGTTTTCTTTCTGTCCAGTTTTTTTCCTTATGTAACTTTAAAATTTAACATTCCAGACATTTTAAACCATTAAAATTTATTTCCAAGGTAGGTAAATGTGATATGAAGTAATATTGGAAACACACACACACACACACACGTGTGTGCGCGCACACACACATGCATATTTATGGAGAGGCAGCCTTCGTAGGAACATGGTATCGTATCCCAGCTTAGCCAGTGACCACAAAAGTAGTACCAGTTTCATAAGGTTATGGGATTAAATGAGTTAATATATGTAAAGTACTCAGAACAGTACCTTACATGTAAGGAAGCATCAGGACACAGAATAATGTCAGTAGTATAATACCATTTGTTAAAAAGGGGTTTGCATATATACTTGGAAACTGGTGGGTAAAGAATATTTCTTTGAGAACAAACAAAACTGGAAATGGTTTCTTTGGGAGAGAGGAGAGAGCCTGGGGTAGAAGGAGGGCATACATTTTGTTGTTAACTTTTTGAACTTTTAACCATATATTTTTAGAATAAAGCCATGTTTCAAGTAATTTAAGAGATTCTAGAATCTTTAAGACAAGAATCTACGTTCTTTTCAGACGGCCCTGCCGAGGTGCCAGTGACTAATGGGAACACAGCCACGGGACAGGCCTTGAACGATGATCTGGACATCTTTGGACCGATGATTTCTAATCCCTTACCTGCAACTGTCCTGCCGCCAGCTCAGGTATGTGTTAAGAGTATGGTTTTACACTGTGTATTTTCTTTTTGGAAAGTTTCAATTTTGAATTGTTTCTTACTTGAAAGCCTCTAGATCTTTAGGCCAGGAGTTGGCTAACTAAGCCTGCAGCTTGTTTTCGCAAATAAAGTGTGATTGGAGACGGCCACTCCGTTTACTTACATGCTGTCTGTGGCCGCTTTCACACTGCAAAAGCAAGTTGAGTAGTTGCAGCAGATAGTCTATGACCCACAAAGCCTACGAGTCACTGTCTAAAGTTTGCTAACTCTTGCTCTAGGCAAACGGTGTTTAGAATGAGTAAGTGGGAAAACTCGGACTGTTTCAGCCTTGCCTGCGATCCACAAGGTTACTTACTTCAGAGGGTTTTGAACTGTTTGGCGTGTGAACGTGTGCTCTGTCGGGCCAGCCCAGGACAGTGTTTCCTTCCGGGTGCAGGGAAACTGAGAACAAGAAATTCTAGCAAACTCAGTACCCATATGCTTTTTTATGAAGACACGTTATTTCTTAGCCTTAAAATCTGCCTTTTTTTATTTTAATGATTTTTTAAAAAATTATTTAGAACGTAATATTAACGATAAAGATTTTTTAAAAGTATCAGTGGTAAAGAAATTTTGACTTGCCTTCTTAACTTTACATGGAATTTTTTTTTCTCTTTTGCCTTTATTTATTTATTTTTTTAATTGAAGTCTAGTTGATTTACAGTGCTGTGTTAGGTTCAGGTGTACAGCAAAGTGATTCAGTTATATACATATGTGTTCTTTTTCAGATTCATTTCCCCTATAGGTTATTACAAAATATTGAGTATAGTTTCCTGTGCTATATAGTAGGTCCTTGTTGGTTAACTGTTTTATATATAGTAGTGTGTATATGTTAATCCCAAACTGATTTATCCCTCCCCCCCTTTCCCCTTTGGTAACCATAACTTTGTTTTCTATGTCTGTGAGTCTATTTCTGTTTTGTAAGTAAGTTCATTTGTGTCGTATTTTATTGATTGATTGATTGATTGATTGCCACACCACGCAGCATGTGTGGGACCTTACAGGGATCAAACCCGTGCCCCCCACCCCCTGCAGTGGAAGCGAGGAGTCTTAACCACTGGAATGCCAGGGAAGTCCCTGTGTCGTATTTTAGATTCCACATACAAGTGATATCATATTATATTTGTCTTTCTCTGACTTCACTCAGTATGGTAATCCCTAGGTTTATGTTGCTACAAATGGCATTGTTTCATTCTTTTATGGCTGAGTAATATTCCATTGTATATACGTACCACATCTTCTACAAATGGCTACAAATGGCATTGTTTCATTCTTTTATGGCTGAGTAATATTCCATTGTATATACGTACCACATCTTCTTTATTCATACCTCTGTTGATGGATGTTTAGGTTGCTTCCATGTCCTGGCTATTGTAAACAGTGCTGCTATGAACATTGGGGTGCATGTGTCTTTTTGAATTACGGTTTTCTCTGGGTATATGCCCAGTAGTGGGATTGCTGGGTCGTATGGTAGTTCTATTTTTAGTTTTTTAGGGAACCTCCATACTGTTCTCCATAGTGGCTGCACCAATTTACATTCCCACCAACAGTGCAAGAGGGTTCCCTTTTCTCCACACCCTCTCCAGCATTTATTGTTTGTAGATTTTTATGATGATGGCCATTTTGACCAGTGTGAGGTGGTACCTCATTGTAGTTTTGATTTGCATTTCTCTAACAATTAGAGATGTTGAGCATCTTTTCATGTGCTTTTTAGCCATCTGTATGTCTTTGGAGAAATGTCTATTTAGGTCTTCTGCCCATTTTTGGATTGGGTTGTTTGGTTTTTTTGATATTGAGCTCCATGAGCTGTTTGTATATTTTGGAGATTAATCCCTTGTTGGTCACATCTTTTTTTTGTTGTTAAATATGTCAAATATTTTTTCAGCTTTATTGTGGTATAATTGAAAAATAAAATTATATGTTTAAAATGTATAACGTAACGTGTTGATATATATATTCGTTGTGAAGATTCCTACCACTAAGTTAATTAACACATATATTATCTCACAAATTCACCTTTTTTGTGTGTGAGAATGCTTAAAATCTACTCTCATTGAATTTCATTTATACAATACAATATAATCAACTATAGCTACCATATTATGCATTAGATCCTCAGATCTCACATCTTATAACTGAAAATGTGTACCTGCCTCCCAGCCCTTGGCAAACACCATTCTGCTCTGTTTCTATGGGTTTGCCTTTTTTTAAGATTTCACATATAAGTGATACCGTGCAGTATTTGTCTTTAAGGTGAGATATTAATATATAACTTCCAGGGACATAGGTTACTCTTAAGCCCACAACTTAAGATTCTGTTTTGGGTTTTTTTTTGTTTGTTTGTGTTTTTTTTTTTTTTTGCGGTACGGGGGTCTTTCACCGTTGTGGCCTCTCCCGCTGTGGAGAACACGCTCCGGACGCGCAGGCTCAGCGGCCATGGCTCACAGGCCCAGCTGCTCCGTGGCACGTGGGATTCTCCCGGACCGGGGCACGAACCCGTGTCCCCTGCATCGGCAGGCGGACTCCCAACCACTGCGCTACCAGGGAAGCCCTAGATTCTGTTTTAAATTTACAAATAAGCAACTAGTTTTTTGTAGTAAAGTATAATTTTTGAGGTAAAATATTTCTCTGTCTCTAGAAAACCTGAGCCAAATGGGAATTGTTTGGATGGAAAGTTTTAACAAGAAAGAACCAATGTCTTATTAGGAAGACGAATTACGTGTATTTTTATTATATATATTTATTGTCATTATGATAGTCGTTGTATAATTAACGCTGGAATTGAGCAGATAGATTTCTGAGGAATCATTAGTTTAAGTGGAGCTTCATCTGCAGCATCGCTGTTTATTTTCAGAGAAGATAGCTTTATTTTATGGCTTTGCCTCTTCTCCTCCTTCCCCCAACACGTAAAAAGAGGAACTAAGTATTGCTAGTATCGTTTCGGTTAACATTAATTACCTTGTGAATGTGTGCAGCCGTGGGTATGCGTGTGGTAGTAAAAGAAGTCGTCTCACGCTAACATTTTGGGTGTGGAAAGAAGTATTTGGGATACTTGACAGTCCGAGCATGCAAAGCAGCTTCTTTTGGTCTAGCGTTCTAGCGGGCCGTTCGGCCGGCCCGCCTTCCTTAGACTCCACTGCGGGGCGGGAACCGCTCTGCAGCTGCTTGCGCGTTAGACCCCAGGCCAGCCGAGGCCCCGTGGGTTCTGTACAGGGAGAGCAGCGAGCCGGACAGTGCGGACCTCAGCCCCCCTCAGTGTGCGTGCAGCTCCTCCTCGTGCCCCCAGGGCCGCCCTGGCCTTCGTGCTGGGCCTCTGTACCTGAGAGGAGACAGGGCAGGTCTTCAAAATCACACCTCATTCTTTTTCTGAATGTTTTTGGACCAAAATGGTGTCAGTTTTATGGAGCCCTCTAAAATAATTTGGTGAACAGAATTATCTTCCGTCCAAACTACATGTAAAGACTCTAATCCAGACATTTTGTCAAAATAATGTCTTTGAAAATTGGGGGAGGGAGAGAGAAGGTGGGTTAAAGCACACATTTTACACACACACATTGTACATAGTTTACTGATTTGGTGGCTTTTTATGCTGTGAAATTGAATTGGACCCCACTAGGAATTACTCTGAACCCTGCGTCTTTCAGTCCTGATTTTCTGAGTGTGGTGCAAATTCTGGTTGGAGATTTCCCCTCACATGAATGTGAGCTGGATTGATGTGACCGTCTGCTTTCCTGTCTGGCTGTGCAGTCTTCCCTGAGGGGCTGGGAACGCTCAGCTGACCCGCGAGGATGCGTGTACTGGGGGTTGAGGGGTGTCGTTCCAGTGTCCCCCAGGGTGACACGTAGAAGCCCTCCCTTTCCTGTTCTGTCCATCATATCCACATCCCCACAGCATCTAGACTCACACAGGTGCTGTGGCCTGTCGTCGGTTTGGCCCCGGATCCCAGACGGCCAGAGAGCCTTTGCCTGGGGATCCTGCGGCCTCCGGAAAGTGCGCGCGTACCGGCAGCAGTGGCTCTCCTTTTACCTTGGAGTGGTCCTGCCGGCACGTGGGGCGCCCCCATCACCCGCCCCGTAAATGGCCGTTCGAGCACCTGCTAGCCATGCTGCCTGGCGTGGCTGTGCTTAGACTGTGTCCCTGTGGAGGCAGGCGTTCATCGGAAGAAACACACGCGTCTGGAGCACGGGGCTGCTCTAGCCTGAGGTGGAATAATAGTAGCTTTCCCAAGCACTTCAGGTTTTCTCACACGTCTGTGTCCTCCTCAGGGAACAGACCCCAGGGTTTTGAGCAGGTTTTTAGACTGAACAGAAACTAAAGGTGCTGGAGGATCATTTAGTGAGGTGTGGCTGCTTTGTCACCTAGCAACACTAACAGCCAATGCTGGCGTCTGCCAAGCACTCCATGTGGCCGTGGGGCGTGGCGGTAAGGCAGCTCCTCCCTGGGCCCAGAGGGAAGGCGGAGTGGCAGGTCCGAGGGCACTGGGGCGAGCCTGCAGGCTGGCTGCAGGGCCCACGCTCTCGGCCTCTGCCTTCTGCTTCATTGCTACGTCAGATATATTTGATTCAAGCCTACTGTTGTATTTGAATTCCATCATGTCCGGTTTCTTACACATTTCAGATCTTTTGCAAAATTATGTGGCTTTTTTTTCCTGTCTTAAAATTCTTGCTTGATGTCATAATAGATTCAAAATATTGTTCTGCTTAAGTTTGTTTGTGAGCATAATGCTTGGAGGCTAATTTATTGAAAGGTTTTTTAGCCAAGGCATTAAATGTTTGATTTTTTAAAAATTCAAGCCAAATCATGTACACTATGATTTAACTTCTACTTGCTGCTCACCTCATTCTATAGTTTGAGAAGACTCTTATCCAGTTTTTACTAGTCTTCATAGACTTCTCTGAAACTCTTCATATCTAAGTCAATTCCCTATACGCAAATGTGATTGAATATTTAGTGACCACAGAGATCATTAAAGTGAGGTGTCAGTTGTGACTGTGTAATACTATCTGTGTGCAAGACACAGGAGATGAAGTGAAATTTTTTGTTTTGTATTACAATATCCACATGCTCATTTGTATTCGTGTTCTTACCCCTGTCTACAAGCGGAATGCAAGGTGTAGGGGAGAGTGCAGTGGTCGCAGTTTTGCTGGACCTCATATCTGGGTAGACTGGAAGCATTCTAATGTTGCGGTAAAAACGGATTAGATTCGGTTCATAAAAATATCATGATGTTGCTTTTGAAAATCAAAACTTTTTTTCCCCCCCAAAGAAGACAAAATCAGCCATTGCAGGACCCTCCTGCAGTCTGCTGTAGTTGTAGAAATGTTCTTCACTCCAAGGGATGCCAGTTCTTGGCAGCAGTGATTGTGCGAACAATCAGGAGATGTGCGAACATCTCCCAGGAATGCTGGTCCTTAAGCGGCACCACATGCCTGTTGTTGAAGCCACTGTGGTCAGGATGTGGTGGGCAGAACTCAGCATCAGAGAGGTTCTATCTACTCCTTTTACATTAACAGATTCAAAATAGGAAATGTTCCTCTATCCTGCATGTAGGTTTTGCATGGGCTTTGTCAGCGATTCCCTTTAGTGTCACCATGTTACCTTCTACAGTTGTTCAGTTTCTAATTTCATACCTTCATTTGGATTTCAAGGAATGGATGAGCTGTGTTTTATTATGCAGAATTCGACAGCTTGTTTTGGTATCTGTCTCAGGGGACGTCCTCTGTACCAGCAGTTGCCGCTCTGTCTGCAGTGACATCTGGGGATCTGGATCTATTCACTGAGCAAACTACTAAGTCAGAAGAGGTGGCCAAGAAACAGCTCTCCAAAGACTCCATCTTGTCTCTGTATGGCACGGGGACCACCCAGCAGCAGAGTGCTCCTGGTAATGCATTTGAAATCTGCTTTCCGTGAATTGCAGTGACATCACTAGAAGTGTATTCTTTGTGCTTATGTAATGTCAATTACATTTCTTCCTTGTGTTTTCTGTGTAGTGAGTGCATTTGTTGTTGCAGTTTACACAACTACAAAACTGAAATGAAAGAAGCATTAGGATTAGAATGCACAAAACTTTATTCATTTAGGATTAACAAGCTGGTCGCACGTCACTTAATGTTTCACAAGCCTTATAGGACAGGGATTATCTTTGAAGAATTATTTAAATTTGATTTGCCTGAAGTTTATAACTCTGTACAGTATGGTATTCTTTCTGCACGTAAACAGTAAGTCTGAAATATCACATGAAATCAAAAAAAGCTTTGAGGTTTTTCTTTTAATATATTCAAAAGAAATACTAGCACGGTAAAGATTTATGTTTACACAGTTTTAATCTGTCATTTCCTCTAAAATAATGGGCTGCATTTCACATAAGAGCTGAAATTATGTGACGTCTCAGCTGCTTCCATTAAAGCCAGCGACAGTCCACTCTGACTTGTTTACTTGGTAGTGAGAGACCAGTGGTGCAAATCAGCAGAAACACAGTCTCATGCTATATAGTTTGGTCTTCACAATGGATGTTTTATGTAGCTGTTGCACAGGATTTATTTACCCTAGTTAAATTTGCTCAGGCTCCTAACTGATTTGTCTGCTTCCTGGAAGTAACCAGCCCTGAGGGTGCAGGTGTGAGCTGCTCTGAGCAACAGGAGCCAGACCAGAAGGAAAGCCTTTGCCGTGGGTAGTTCAGCAAGACGGGCTCCTGTTTCTGTGCTGACAGAGGCGAGTGCAGCGCTATGCGGTAACCCTGTTCTCTTCGTTTGTTTTCTCTGCTCGGTTCTTCTGCTGCAGGTGTGTTTATGGGACCCACAAATATACCGTTTCCCTCACAAGCACCGGCTGCATTTCAAGGCTTCCCGTCCATGGGCGGGCCTGTGCCTGCAGCTCCTGGCCTTGCGGGAAGCGTGATGGGGCCGAGCGCGGGCGTGATGGTGGGCGTGCCCCTGCCCAACGGCTTCATGGGAAACGCACAGACTGGGGTGATGCCACTTCCGCAGAGTGTGGTCGGCCCCCCAGGAGGGATGGTGGGACACGCGGGTGCGGCCCAGAGTAAGTTTGGCCTGCCGCCAGCTCAGCAGCCCCCATGGAACCTCTCTCAGGTAGGGTCCTTTCTCTCCAATTTCTCCAAAATCAGAGAAACCAGATCTTGTTTTCTGAATGGTTTTATTTGTTTTTAAATCTAACAATCTGGCAGAAAGAATTGAGTAGGGATAATGTTATAAAAGGTAAAAACTGTTTAATCAAATAGACAAATGAGCTGTCATTGTTCCTATATTTAGAATATTCTGTAGAGAATGTTAAGCATTTTTTCATTTCTGATTATAACACAGCTGTAATGGTGAATGTCCCTCATTTGTTTGTAACAGCTAGAAATTATCTTGGGCATCTTTTGAAATTAGCACCAAGCTTTAAACCCAGCCCCCTGGTGGGTTGTTTGTATAGACCACCTAGACCAACCTATTTTCACTAATAATTTTGGGGGCTCTTGGTAACTTTCACAAATTAGAAAACAACCCAGCCTCATATTCTCAGAGCACTGTTTTTGAGAGATCTAGGCTGTGCGTGGATTTATAAAAAATCTTTTTGTTCAAATACATTTCTAAAGTTGTATTTTCTTCTTACTTATAGTCACATTTATGTTTAAAAAAAATATACACTAGTTCAAGAATTCCCATAAGATATGAACCAGTCCATATTTGTGTCTTACATCCCCTCATATTACAAAACCCTATTTCTGCCTAAGTTAGTTTAGAGCCAGGAGATGACATTTTATATTACCTCTTTCAAATCCATTCTGACTTTCCTCTGGCTTCACAGACAGAGGCCTCAGACCTAGGTTCGTGGTCCCACTCTTCTTCCTTGTACACTTCCTTATTTGATGTTCCTCTGGTATTTTGATGCCCTTGACTTCTGTTCTCGTCAGCATTCAGGGAATAGTATATAGCAATTTCTAACCGACATTATTAGCAAAATCACTATATATCCCATGAATGTTCCAAGTTATTTTTTACTGTCACTATTTAAAGGAATATCTATATGACATTGGTCTGTGCACTCTGGGAATCTCAAAAATCGTTAAGTGTCAAATGTCAGTAATAGCTTTTGTGCAGCCGGAATGCTGAAGCAGACCCAGCCCAGGTTAGGGTGCCTGCTGAACCAGTAAGGACTTACCCCACCTTACTTCCGGGCCCGCCGAAGGGGGTGCTCTTCTCCAGCTCTCTCTTGGTGGGGTCTGCTGGCCATGACAGGTACTAAACATCCTTCAGTACCTAGGAAGAAGCGACCTGCCCCTCCAGACACTGTGCCTCCCTCATCAGTGATGTGGTTAGTATTAGGGTTTTTGAAGAACTAAGAACTGCAGACGGTTGAACTTTATTAATACAATCCAACCCTGAGCATAGATTTTTTTTTTTTAATCTTTTTTTTTTTCTTTCTTGCGGTACGAGGGCCTCTCACTGTTGGGGCCTCTCCCGTTGCGGAGCACAGGCTCCGGACACGCAGGCTCAGCGGCCATGGCTCACGGGCCCCGCCGCTCCGTGGCATGTGGGATCTTCCTGGACCGGGGCACGAACCCACGTCCCCTGCATCGGCAGGCGGACTCTCAACCACTGCGCCACCAGGGAAGCCCTGAGCATAGGTTTTGAATCCACTCTACTTAGTAGTAAATCTTGCCTTTCCTTCACTTACCATCAGTCTTAGAAGTGAGAGCACCACAGGGGAGGGTTAGGAGGCTTATGTACACAGGACTCCAGTCTGGAAGAAAAGTACATGTAATCTTACACCTTTAGGACTCCAGTCTGGAAGGAAAGTACATGTAATCTTACACCTTTTGTCATACAATAGGCGTTTATATGGTTGGCTATAGCAAAAGAAAAATATGTTTTATGACCTTTTTAAATATTTATAAAGTATACAGAGCTATTTAAGACTTGAATAAAGACAGAACAATTGCCATCATATACAGTTCATAATTTTGGAGTAGTTTACTTTCAGACATTTCCTTAGTCCTTAGTAGTTAAGCTATAGTTGAAGGCATATCCTAGAAAGTATATGGTTGAAAGTATTGCTAGTATAGTTGAAAGTTCGAATAGCAGACTCATGGCACATCCAGATATGGATTCAGCGATTGCTTTGGTACTTTTTCCAGTTGTGGTTAATCTTTGGGGGACAAGAAATTGAGTCCAGAAAATGAATAAATATAAAATGACTTCAGACCACTTTATAGACAGGGTTGAAAAGCAGAAGGAAATAGCAACCAAGAAGGGAACACGGTAGCTATTTGCTTTCTGTGGAGAAAGCATCGTGTGGTCGGCTGCTTTTACTCCAGGGCTCGGACAGCTGTTCACATGGATGAAAAATACTTAGAGTTGCTATTAAGTGTCCGTGTCTCTCTGAGTAAATCAACTTCGAGTAAAGGCCCACTTCTACTAAAATAGGCTGGCCATTAGAAATGTCTAGCAGTGGCTGAAGAAACCAGGCCTGCAAAGTGAAGGATGCCTTTTGTGTGTTCACAGGTGAACCAGCAGATGGCTGGCCTGAGCCTGGGCGGCGCAAGCCCCGCGGCAGGCTTCAGCCAGCCCCCCAGCACCACGGCGGGGGCAGCGGGGTGGTCGGGGGCCTCGTCAGGTCAGACGCTCAGCACGCAGCTGTGGAAGTGACCCTGCAGCACGGCCCACCGCGCTCCCCCCTGACATTCCTGCGGAGATGCAGCCGGGTTCCCCTGTTCATTCGTGTACATAATATTTTTTTCTTTTCTCCCCATTTGTTCATATTAAGCATTATCTGATTGATTGACCGTGTTGGTCTGTACTGATGGATTAAATTTGCTGTGGTGAAAAGCAGGCTGAGAAACCATTTCATGTCGAGGGCAGCTTTTGCTCACATTTCCCAGGATTTCATAGACACCGTATCTGGGAAGCTGCTCGGTCAACGTGCATGATCAGTTTCCCTCTCGAGGAAATTGTAGCTCTCATGTTTGCATATAAGGGAAGTAGCTATCATGTTTGTTAGTAATACCTCTAACAGTATGACCCCACCCCCAGATTAGCCAGTAATCCCGTAGGAAGGTACTGTATGATCAAATGTTTAATCATATAAATAGAATGTCAATGTATCACTGAGCACTGTTTTCTAGTGTATCCAGATTCTTTTATGTCATCATTCACGTCACTGTGCTGTTGCTATGATGTGCTTAACCGGGAACGTGGTTAGAGAAAGGAAGATAAACCTGGATGTTACTACGAAGTTAGTTGTTTAACGAATGTTTGAAGAAGTCAGATTTTACCTGCCTCCCTTGTAATTGGGATCTCTTCCTATGTACACGTAGCGCTAACAAACACGAGACCTTTCTCTGCACTAGATGCAAACAGGGTAACTAAACAAGCCACTTCAACCCTTGAAGGCGTATCCAGGTTTATGACAGTAATTGTGTTTACATTTTATGGTGCCTAGTACTGACAGATGTCATATCCCTGTATTAAACAGATGAATCCATAGACCTTTTTTGTGGGTTTTATTTCCTATGATGTATACTGCCACCAGTCTTACAAAAGTTACTTCACGTTGCAGAGTCACAAATTGGGAATGTGCTGTTGACAGAACACTTGTCATCTGTTTGTTTTGTTCAGTTCTACCAATTAATTATAAGGCCAAATGGGAAAAAAAAGTATGTAAGAAGATTCTGGGAATGGTACTAGCCTGCGTGCCATTAGCTGTGCTGTACAGAGACCCTCCGGGTTGCTTGTAAGGGAGCATGCAGAACAAACGGAGACAAGAGCGGCTGTCTCTACCCGTGCTCAGCTTCCGGACACAACCACCCTGTAAGCAGGTGCCCGTCGGGAGGAGAGCAGAGGAAACGGCCCCCGGGTGCCCGCAGCCCTACCCCGCACGCCCGCCAGAGCACCAGCTGCGGCTCTGTCACACCTCGATCGTCACCGTGTCCAGGTGGTACTTGGGCTCGTTGGCTAGGTTCACCTTCTCTGTCCGAGTGTGCCACACGAGGACCTGCGGGGAGGAGACCTGATGGGTAGCCACGCTCTCAAGGGACACACAGCAAAGTCAAGAGGCACGAGTGCAATGAATACCTTGGTGCAGTTACTTGCTTTCGGTTCCAGTTCTTCGACGGTCGTGATCTGCTTTAGAAAGTCAGATTCCTGCATCCCAGGCTGGGACCCACGACGCTTAAATACAGCTTTGGGGTTGGACAAGATGACTTGAAGGCTTACAGCAAATCCTTTGTGAAAGTTAAAAAAAAAAAGTCTTTAAAGTAAAATACTGGTGTACTTCTGTTTTTTTCTATATAATCTTGGTCACATCAAAACCTGTTTTTTTCAGTATCTACCGTGGGCCAAGTCTTGGTTCACAGAGTTGAGCAGGAGTGTTACCTGCATCATCACAGTCTCAGAAGGACAGCCCGCCTTTACAATAGAGCACGTCTGCCGCCCTGATCGAGGCTGTGTGTGGAGGGGTGGCTTCTGGACACTACGTAGCCTGTTGATGACAAAGGGTGCACGGCGCAGAGGCCGTCACAGCCCCCGCACGTTTGGCCTCTGGGAGTACCTAGAACTCAGTACACCTGAAATGCACACTGTCTCGCCCTGCCTGTCCCCGGGGAGGAGGCCGCCCCGCTTTCCTGCCTGTCCTCTGACATCTCCATGTGTTCCTACCAAAGCCAGCACTGCTCTGATGGACCCTGAGGTTAGAAGACGGAGGAATACAAGTCCGGTCAGTTAGCTGGGAAATGAATACTCTATAGTCATTTGGTATAAATTTCCAATTTGATTCAATCTGAAGAGCGGGGCGTGGGGGGCTGGAAATCAGTACAGGAGATGATATCAGGCCATTTGGCAAATTTGGTTTTTGTAGTTCATTTTTCAAGGAAACAGATGAGTGTCAATTTCCTTAAATGGTTTGGTGTTAGGAAAAATCATTACTCTTTAGTCTGTAGTTTAACAAACTGTGTTACAGGCTTAGCCACTAAGCGCTCCACAAGCCGTCTCTGGAAGCAGCTGTCACAGCCGTCCTAATTGTTGTGAAAGTCTGCACCCCGACCTCTGCTCTTCACGACTAAGCTGACACTGTAAAGCCAGGCGCCCTTCCAGAGTTAGGAGGATCAGTCTCCAGGAACGTTTTCTTAGCAGCTTTTTGCCCTTCCCTACATTAACTGAGCTGATTTATGCCGCTTTATGCAAACGCATAGTTAGCAAAGTTAGTATCAAATGATTCCAGTCAGTCGCGGGGGAGCTGTGAGCAGAGCACAGCCAGCATCCTCTTAACCTCTCCAGATGCGGGACTGCAGACCCGCGCTCCCGACCCCGCCGCCCCCGTGGGAGAACGCACCGCGAAGCTGCCTACAGACACAGGTGGGTACCGCAGGTGCTGAGCGAGCCCGAACACGGAGACAGGTGCTGCGAGCGTTGTCCCGAGGCCTGGCCCGGGATCTCCACCAATCCTGGCGGGGCAGCACGTCCCGGCAGAATTCGGAGTTAGCACCTCCGTTTTCTCATGGGTCCTTGCAGCTGAGAACCGGCCAAGTCACTCAGCCTCTCTCGATACTGAAACTCCCCCGTTTCCTCACCCGCAAGGGTGGCGTGACACCCCCTCCCCTCACGTCTGATGTGAAATTAGTGAACAGAAAGCCTTCACTAACTGCAAAGCTCTGTTCAGAGGACCCTAAGATAGATAAATGCCGATACCATTGTAAATACTATCATGAGGGGAGGTGGATTAGCCACCGCCTATGGCTGGAGAACAGTGTTGACGGCAAGAGGCTCAGGAAAGTTCCAGGCCACCTGCGCTTCACCCCACTTGGCTAACAAGTCTGAAGCCTTCCTCGGATGTGGCTTCAACAGCCCCGGGCCCCAACAGGAAGTCAAAGGTTCAAATTAACACAAAAAAGTGACTTCTACTAGGTCAACTCAGATCTTAGGATGAAAAGATTTCTGGGGTTGTTTTCATGTGCTTTAAGTAAGCTTCATCCTTTTTTTTTCCTAGCTCAGAGTCTGCCCTTTTTAACCATACTGAAGCTCCTGGTATATTTCTCACATGGCCTCAAGGTACTGATTTTATTTCCCCATTCTCATAAAAAAAAAAACAGGATCCGAGTTGCGCAGAAGTCATTGTGAAAATTATATGAAGCCACTTGGATCTGACTTTCCCCATTTTCCCTCAGGCTAACACATTCATCGTCGTGACCACTGAAGGATTCAGATTAAGAGTGTCTTCTTGCTTTCTGTAGCTCAGGAATATCCTGCTAGCTCCTAAAGCAGTTATATGGCAAAGTCTACCATATAGACAGGCAGAGCTGACAGCCAGCTGTGAAACTACTCCCTGCTCTGCTGCAAGGCCCTTTCCTGGTCCCACTGGAGAATGGGGTGCAGGCTGGCAGCCCGGGGAGAGAATTGGAGGGCAGCTGGCTCACCACCGCGGCAAAGTGGTTTTCTATTTAATACAAAAGGGGGGCGGCATTCAGACACACACCCCCCCCCCCACTCCACTGTCTTCACCAGGCCCTGCTCAGTGAGCTCTTCAAGGGAAGCAGGTCATAGCAGCACCGGGAACCACTCGAGAACTAGGCCAAGCCCTGGGCTGCCTTCTGGGGAACCGTCTGACCTGCTGTGAACCTGGGAGTTAGAATCCTCCCTCTGAAAGTCAGACAAGGAGTTTTTCGCTCCTAAACCATTGCTTCCAACCCAAGATAGGTACCTTGAGTTTTCTTCATTTCCAAGCACTTACGCCTCAAGTATCGTATGTACCCTTACCTTTTGTCAGTGAAGTTAATTTAGTTTTAAAGGTGTTCTCAGAAGCCTTTGGGATACTAGGAGCTTTATAACAATCGTGGAAGTAGGAGTCTCTGTCCTGGTCAGTTGTGTAAAGAAGTGCAAATGAACACTGGTTATTCACAGTGAAAGCAGGATTTCCTGGCTTCTTCAAGTGGACAGGGTGGGTGGTGGGGACCCAGTCCCTCCCAGTCAGAAGGACCGCCCTGCTCAGTGTATGTTTACCAATGAACAGATGCAGCTCCAAGTCCATCAGGCCATTTCCACTTACTTATGGACAAGATGGCCGAAGCAACAAGGACGGGGTTTTTCCTACTGTCTTAAATAGCTAAAAACCAGACAAAACATTTGAAAAAATAGTTTCTAGCACTGGGGAAAAGGCACACAGGACAGAGATCTCTGAAAAGAAGAGACAAATGTGAGCCCTACAGTTGCCCCAGCTTCCCGCCTGAAGGCTACACCCCTGGGAGGGGAACACACATAGCTCTGCCATCTCCTTGAGCTGAGGAAACAGAATGGAGAACTCAGGGAGGCTAAGACAGCTGGAATTCAGGGGGCGTCACCCTGAGAGCAGAGGATGCGACTGTCTGCAGAGGGCTTGCCTCAAGTCCCACTGAGTCTGGTCAGTAGATGCTGGTGAGACTCCCTGAGTTCAAGAAAGGAGCCACTGGAAGGAAACAGGTGAATGGATCAATCCCTAGAGGCCACTCAGGGCTGGGACAGGCCACGTGCCCCATGGCCAGGGCGCAACGGGCGACAGCTGGGATGCTCGGAAGAGTGCTTGCACGGCCACTGGTCCACTGTGAGGCCAAACTAGCCCTAAAATGAAGGCTTAGCTGGTTTGCCCAACACTTAAAAGTAAGCCAGGAAAGGATCAAAATGTTTCTAAGTAACTTAATTATAGCCCAGAAAAAAGCTAAAAGTAAATAAACAAATACATATATAACATGCAAACATAAAATTATATACACACCCACATGTATATGTGTGTGTATATATGTAGAATAAATGTATGTTACACATTTCATATATACATATACAATGAAATATAAGGAACTAGACACATTTTTTTCCCTAGAACCTAGCAACATAAAATTTTTAATGCCTGAGATACAAAAATGACCAGATGTGCAAAGAAGCAGGAAATTACAATCCCATAATGAAAACACAGCAATCCCACTCCTGGGCATATATCTGGAAAAAACTATAATTTGAAAAGATACACACCTCTCAATGTTCACAGCAGCACCATTTACAATAGCCCAGACATGGACGCAACCCAAGTGCCCATCAACAGATGAATGGATAAGAAGATGTGGTATACATACACAATGGGATACTACCCAGCCATAAAAAAGAATGAAATAATGCCATTTGCAGCAACATGGATGGACTTGGAGATTATCATATTGAGTGAAGTAAGTCAGACAAGGACAAATAACCATATGATACCACTTGTATGTGGAATCTAAAAAATACAAATGAACTTACTTACAAAACAGAAATAGACTCACAGACATAGAAAACAAACTTACGGTTACCGAAGGGGAGGGGAGGGGAGGGATAAATTAGGAGTTTGGGATTAAGATATACACACATGCAGTAGATATAAAATAGATAAACAAGGAACTGCTGTACAGCACAGGGAACTATACTTGGTAGCTTGTAATAACCTATAATGGAAGAGAATGTAAAGAAGAATATATAAATATATAACTGAATCACTAAAAAAATTATATAAATTTCATGTGTACAACATTACAGTGTGCTCATCACCAAAAGCTGACCCTCTCTACCCATTTGGCCTTCCCTCTACCTACTTTCCCCTCTGGTAACCACTACTCTGTTCTATATATCTGTGTGTTGGTTTGGTTTGGTTTGGTTCATTTGTTTGTTTTTAGACCCCACACATGAATGAAGTCATACCATATTTGTCTTTCTCTGACTTATTTCACTTAGCGTAATAGCCCTCAAGGTCCATCCCATGTTTTCACAAATGGCAGGATTTCGTCTTTTTTTGTTTGTTTTTCTTACGTCTGAGTCCACTGTATATACACACCACATCTTCTTTATCCATTCCTCCACTGAGGGGCACTTAGGCTACTCCTGTATCTTGCCTATTGTAAGTAATGCTGCAATGAACATAAGGGTGCACGTACCTTTTCAAATTAGGGTTTTCATATTCCTTGGATAAATGTTCAGAAGTAGAATAGCTAGAAAATTAATTATTCTTAAAATTTTTTTAGGAATCTCCATACCATTTTCCATAGTGGCTGCACCAATTTACATTCCCACCAACAGTGGAGGAGGGTTCCCCTTTCTCCACATCCTCTCCATCACTTGTTTTTCTTGCCCTTTTGATGGTAGCCATTCTAATGGACGTGAGGTGATATCTCATTGTGGATTTGATTTGCATTTCCCTAATAATTAGTGACGTTGAACATCTTTTCATGTGCCTGTTGGCCATCTGTATGTCTAC